TGGAATCAGCCGCGTTTTAGTCTTCGCTTTCCTCATCCAAATGGACCACGACATTCGGCGATTCTATTATTCTCTTCCAAACGGTGACTGCGGTCTTGTAGAATTTATATAAACCGAAGGGAAGACCTTGATCAAACATAATTGTATTCATCCAATTATATATTTGTTGACTATCGGCTTGAGAGAGAGAGACAAGGAGAAGTCGCCCAAGAGTTCTTTTCTCTGATTCTCCAAGCAAAAACAGCTAACTATTTTATGCATGATTTGATCTTGTATTCTGCTATTATTCTGCTATTTGAGCACTACAGAAGTTGGACTACCTGGCCTTTCTGCATCAATAATATTAAAATAACCAGTCTCGAAGCGCTGAAACTATATTTGTGTTTTGCTTCTATTAATGACTTCGTTTCCAAACAAATCCTCTAGCTTCGAGGGAATTACAATGATTGAAATGTCTTTAGATTTAAACAGAAACTCTATCACCGACCGTTGTCGGATTCTTGTGTTTACTTCAGGCGGCATATCTGAATAAAATCTTAGTTCTGTTTGCAAACATTAAAAGTAGAATGTTTATTCAATTAGAAAACATTATTTTTGTTCCGAAGATCATTTTTTGGTTAGATGTTGATTCAGAAAAATATAGCCACATCAACCAATGATTTATTCAACTCCGACCTTACAGTGACTCGCTTTCACTCACGACCTACTGTCACGCATTCCCCTGAGATGAGTTACAGCAAGCCACTGAAACGTCAGGAGTTAAATAAATCAATGGTGGATGTGCTTTTTTTTCTTAATTATTTTTATGATCGTAAAGATAGAGGCTGCCTGGCCGGAGTTCATAATTCTTCAAATTAAAGATACTTCGGCCAGTAAATATTTTTTATTGTCTCGACGTTTCGACAAAAATCTTTTCTTCTCTTTAGGAACGAACAAAATATCTTTGTCGAAACGTCGAGACAATAAAATATATTTACTGGACGATATATCTTTAATTTAAAAAACTATTTTATGATGATAAATTATTTAGATATTTTCAATATGTCATTGTGTGCATTAGTTATTGACCGGCGCTTATACAAGTATACTCCTATCTCTGGACACTTTATTTTACCGTTTATCATTACTCTTCACAATTCATCCTTTCATACTTCATCCCTAAGGTTAGAAATAATCGTTATTCCTCTTTAAAATAAATTTACTGCTTTTCACATGTGTAGCCATGTGGTGCAATTATAGTAAAAGCAGTCGCCTTCTTCTACCCACCATGATTATCATGGCCTGTACAACGTGTACTAGGGATAAGCAAAACAATAAATAAATTTAGATTTTTCGTTCAAAAGAAACACATGCGGAGTAATTTTCAAATGTCGTTCTACAATTATAAGCCGCATTATATTGTATTACTAGCGGATGTACCCGGCTTCGCCCAGGTTTTCTCGAGGGAATGTTTGTAGTCTAGTAATAAGAAAATATACTACACCTAAAAACTATCAGAGAAAAGAGAAACCACGGAAGGTGAACAGAAAAATGCTTACAATGGATGTTATGTTTACGATATCAAGTTAAATAAAAACAAAGATAAAATTTGCATATGTTGGTCACTATAAATTTGTATATTTGTTAGGCGAAATTAGAAACATGATAAAACAATTGGGTATTTAAAAACAAATGTAGAAATAAAAGTTGAAGTATAATAAACAATGTTAAAGATTAGTTTTAATTATTAATCAATTATTAATTATTGTGTGTGAATATGTGAGAAAGATGTAATATCGTTGTTGTTTTCTTGGCCGACTGTTTTACATATGGTGTTATCTTAAAATTGCTTGTTTTGAATATTTTTTAGATTGAGATTATTAGCTAGTATGTAAAAATATTAACTCTGTTGAAATTTAATTTTGTATTTATATATAAATAAAATTAACTCTGTTGATTTTTTTTGTATTTAATCGATAACAGCGAAGTTACGCATGTTAATGTTATGAAATATATTTTGATGTTAAGCAAAACCTGCTCCATCTCGTTTTACATAAATGTTGAAAATTTGGTTGAAATTGATGCATTGTAACGAAAGTTTTTAGTGATGTCCACTTATGAAATTTCCATTTTATTAATATAGATAAAGTATATTTAAATAATATATAAACTCCAGTTATTTACAAAGTGTCAAGTCAAATAAAGAAGAACACAACAAAAGGCGATAACAAAGATTATTGAATCACCATCCACAGCCAAAGAATAAGATCTCCAAATGACAAACAGAAAATAAATTCCAAAGAAAATCAAAGCAGTTTCCGGTATGTCTTTGAAGAATGCTGCAAGTCAATTTAGTTGGACCACCCGATTTCCGGTCGCCAGGGTTATTTGCCAAAGATCGTCTGCAAATCAATTAGTTCAGGCTAATGGCGGGTGAACCGATGTAGGCGGACAGAGAGGAATAGATTCCATTGTTTAACTTGGTTTGTCGCCATGGAAACTGTTAGTTAGTTAGTTTAGAAGGCAGATTTCTATGATTAATATATAGATTTTATTTTAATTTGATTCTGTAACACTCTGTCAAATAAATCGATTTTAGACATTTTTGAATTTTGTTATTAGATAGAGAAACTACTTTTTTAGAATTTTATTTGTCTGTGAATAATATTTTGAACATTTTAATTGTTTATCGTAATTATATATGTGCATATTGTTATCGAGTTATGCGCTGTTAGGGGGATACGCTCGATAATTCTATTTATACCTCTTTTTTAAAATACAACATACAATATGTACTATTCAATATCCCTTGTGAATAACCTAAAAATAATATCCCTATTTTAATATTTATAAGATCTAAATATTTTTATTGATTACGGAATTTTTTGTTTATTACACCGTAGTTATATGATTTCAAAAATTGTATTGTTATTTTTTCATAGATTATTATTATATCTGTTTGAAGTTTATATGTTAATTCTGTAATTATTCTTATTTTTAATTCATAGAAGCATTTTTTCTGGCAGACATATTCAATTTTTATCATCATCATTTTTTGATTTTTTTTCTTAGTTATCTAATCATTTTGCAATTGTAATTTATTTTTTGTTTTGTTGTTTTCCTTTTTAAGCAATAAAATATTGAAGCGGTGCAGCAAAGAAGATGAAGAGAAGATGTGGGCAAAGCCGTTAAAGGTATGCAGGGCCCCTCCACAAGGAAGTGTTTATTGACAGATTCCAGAGGAGGGGGCGGCAGACAGACAGTCCAGAAAGTGCCGTAGTGAAGGAAGGAGCCGTTATAACGGTCGGCCTGAAGAAGGTTTTGTGCGCCGAGAGGACATCGCAGTCTCGGGAGAAGTCGTCTGGTGACATCGAGATCTGCGGCAAGTAGAAGACGGCGGCGAGTTACCTCCGGGGCGTGTGGATGATCCTGCAAGGCGGTGCCAGGAGAGACTAACATCGGAGCGACCTACAAGGCGGTGTAGTCCAAGCTGCACGTGTATAGTGTGGAGCGGAACGCATCACAAGACGACATCCACGGCGCCAAGGATTCTTCTGACGGGGAGGCTGAAGGCAAGTCCCACTGTTGTATTCCTTCTGTTTAGTGCCAATGCCTGCAGCACGTGAATATAAGAAGAATTTTAAAATATCACTTCAAGTAGTATCTTCGATTTTTAATGGATTCAAAATCTGAGCAGAGAATTTGTATAAAATTTTGTCTCAAAATCGGTAATTTTATATTCGAAACTTCAAATTTATTAAAATTAGCCTTCAGAGAAAATCGTTTTAAAATAGCAGACGTATATCGAATGGTATTCACGATTTAAAATTGGTATAGAATCAGTGGATGAGGATGTACCTGTTTGCCGGCCAATCCTTCACAGCATTTCTGTGAAAATACACAAAAATTTGAGAATTTAATAAAAGAAAATCCATTAAGTTGGCTACGTGACATCGCAATATAAACTGGGATATCTGAATATTTAGTAGGAATGATAATCAAAGAAGATCTGCAGTTGAGGAAGACACATGCCAAGTTTGTTCCTAAAATGCTGACAATCGAACAGAAAAATGATCCTGTTGATTCCTCAAGAAACATCTTTGAACTAGTCGAACAAAATCTAATTGAAAAGAATACATAATAACTGGAAACAAGCCTTTGAGTTTATGGGTAGGACCCCGAAACTAAACGCTAATCCATGGTGAGGAAAGAAATATGAGCCAGGAACGAAGAAATCTTGTCTTTGCAGATCAAAAACCAAGGTTTTACTTGTGTCATTCTTTGACATAAAAAAGGTAATGTGGAATTTCAAAAATTGGATTCTCCATTAAAACAAAGCTCGGCCACACACCTCTACATATGTGCTAAGTTTTTGAGCCAAGAAGGGCACCCAATATTTCACCAACCTGCTTACTCTACAGACTTGGCTCCCAATGACTATATACAAAAACCAAAATGGCTTTAAAAGGGAGTAAAATAAAAGTACAAAAGTTAAATTGTATTAGGATCAGGTGGATACATTAAGAAAACGGCATATCCTGATTGTGCAAATAAAAGTTGCTGATGGCTTGCACCATCTGTCGGAATAAATATCAACTAAAGCTAATCACGTACGTGTTTCGGGCTGTTGGCCTTCATCAGCGTGGTGCAAGCTCTACCTCAACGACCAGTTTTCCAGTTCCAGTTTAGTTATAACTTTATTAGGTGCCGCTCAGCAATATAAACCTAGTTAATAACTGTACAATCAATTGTAATCAATACAGGGAGTTCATCATATATATACATTATATATAATACAATAAAATGCGGCTTATGATTGTGAAACGACATTTGAAAATTATCTCGCATGTGTTTCTTTTGAACGAAAAATAGAAATTTATTTTAAGGAGAAATAACGATTATTTCTAACCTTAAGGATGAATTATGAAAGGATGAATTGTGAAGAGTAATCAATGCTGTATAAGCCGCATTATATTGTATTATAAATTACTTTATATAATATTTACGAACGGAAAAATATGTCCAGGGTAGCCTAGTGGACATGGCATTTGCCCTGTAAGCGGAACACTGCGACAATTGACAATTAAAACAACTTTTATTGACATCTTGTCAATTCAATAAAATAATCCCTTGAATTAATATTAAAATAAAAACATAAAGCTTCCAGGGAAAAGTTTCTTTTATTTTGTTTCCCCCAAGAAACTTTTCCCTGGAAGCTTTATGTTTTTATTTTAATATTGATTTTAACATCTTGTCAATATTTAAACTCAAAGAGAGTTTCAATAGTAAAATAATATAATAATAATTAGGAATATTAAAATATGTTCAAAAGTTATTAAATAGAGGATGAGCGGAGGCATCCTCGGCGCGCGAGTGTTCTCCTCCAGGCGATGAGCGGGTCCTCCACTCCACCGAGCCCAACCTGAACAAAGTGGCGGTAGATCCGTAACTTTGTCGACGCGAGGATGGTCAGGGCTTCGTCCTTAAGACCGGACCCGAAGATCCAAGTCTGCAGGCGGAACACTGTGGGTTCGATTCCCATCCCTGGACACTTTATTTTTCCGTTTATCATTACTCTTCACAATTCATCCTTTCATACTTCATCCCTAAGGTTAGAAATAATCGTTATTTCTCCTTAAAATAAATTTTTATTTTTCGTTCAAAAGAAACACATGCGGGATAATTTCCAAATGTCGTTTTACATACATTATATATACATATTGCACATATATAAAATATATATAGAAATATATGCATTAACTAATATTTATAATCTGTATCTTATAAATCCGGTCTGTACCATCTGCTGCATGTTTCTATAAGTAGTGTTAGGGAATTATCTGGGTAGATTAATGTTCCGACATCATTTTAAAAATATTTTTTCCATGTTTCATTGTTTTGCTCGAAATTACCTATAACTTGTCTTGGTCTGAGGTTCCTCTTTTTTTCATTATATTCGCAGGCCTTTTATAATTTTGGTTCGGTAGTTCACGTTCATAGAATTTCAATGGTAATTTATTAATATAGGTATTATTTTCAATTTTGAGCTTTTTTTTTTTAATATTAAATTTCTTACATATTGTTACATCAATTTTAATGCGCCTTACATTTTTTCAAAATATTCTATGATTTTTAATATCTATTTAGAACAGAATATTCAGATTATCATCATTCCTTTTTATAGTTTCATTCCTTTTGTAATATTTATTGTACACTAGCGGACGTACCCGGCTTCGCCTGGGTTTTACCCGAGTAAAGGTTTGTCTAACGAAAATCTCGATAAAGTGAACATTTTTTTCCCGGTCCCTTGAAAAATACTCGATAAGTTAAATAAAATCAATATTAATTGGTTCCCTCGGTAATTGGAAGTTAAAGGAATGGTATCTTGCCTTGGAATTGTATCATTATTCTTGTATGGATGTACCCGGCTTCGCCCGGGTTTTACCCGAGTAAAGGTTTGTCTAACGAATCCCTCAATAAAGTGAACAATTTTTCCCGGTCCCTTGAAAAATACTCGATAATTTGAATAAAATCAATATTAATTGGTTCCCTCGGTAATTGGAAGTTAAAGGAATAGTATCTTGCCTTGGAATTGTATCATTATTCTTGTCTCAAATAAATTGCCGTGTCATCCTGAATTTTGTCTTTCCTAATTTTCTACATTACAAAATCATCGTATCATCATGATAATATTTAGAGCAGATTGTTGAATTATAACAGATAAATTAGAATATTTATCTTGATTATTTTAAAGCGAAAAGTTATTTCAAAAATTTTATTTGCTAGAAGCCTTCCCAGTACTATACTAAATAACTTCCCAAAGTTTCATGACGTTCCAATGAGTGGTTTGGTCAGGCATAAAGGACAAACAGACACACACACACATACATTCATTTTTATATATATAGAAGAAGATATATCTTGATTGGTTATTGGAGCGAGGGAGGACCTAGAGGGAGACTGTGGATCTCGACATACGAGAAAGACCACGAATAAATAATCACAATAACTTTGAAAGGTAAATCATTTTTATTTACTTTTACTTCTATTTATTTGCTTTGAATATGGAAACCCGCTCGGGAAACGTGTATAACACCAAGAAGGAAGAAACCAAGGTCGACGACCTTGCAAAGCTGCAACAATTGGTGAGATGCTGTTTTCGAACCAGTTGCTTTGAACCCCTATATAGAAATTCCGAAATATGACGGGACAGAAAACCCTCACCCGTGGATAGAATCCCTCGAAGACATTGGTTTCCTCTACTATTGGGCAGACAACATAATTGCCTGTTATGCCGCCATGAACATGACGGGAAGTGCTAAAACCTGGTTGAATTTATACAAAGCTAGTTTCACGAGCTGGGAAAATATTAAAATCCGCCTCATTCAGGATTTTTCTCTGGACGCGAATAAAGAAGAACTTAGAATGAAGCTCAACAGAATGCAACACTGGAATGAACCAGCAATCAGGTTCGCGGAAGACATTCTAGTGTTGTGCAACAAGGTTGACCCCGCAATGGAAGAAGAAACAAAAATTGAACATGTTATTGGAGGACTGAAAAAAAGAGTACTCATTCGCGCTCTACCTGAACCCTCCTAAAACGACCGATGACCTTCTTGTCGTGTGCAAGAAAATGGATTCTTTTGAAAAGAAGTATCGGGAACGTGTGGAGAAATCCAGAAACCTATATAACGGTCCACGCTATTCTAGACCCCAACAACAATCGCGGAACGTGCCGCCGACTGCCACGCGAATCTATCAGACCACTTCCAGGCCCCAGGCCCCTGCTTCCAAAAATTACAAGAACGACTCCCTTCCTACTCCCAGGCAGTATCGAAACAACTTGCCCCAGCCCTCTACCCCTAGACGTCCTTATAATCCAAAATTTGTGCCGAAACAAAACCTTCAGAAAACACCTACAATAAAAGCCAAGAAGCGAGCAAAAATAGGACGGAAGATGGAAGACCAATCTGCTTCAAGTGTAACAAGCCAGGGCACGTGGCCCGTTATTGTAGGGTAAAGTTTATAAGATTCCTAGAAGAGGATCCGACAGCAACCCAAGAGAAGGTCAAAGAGAAATTTCAGAGATGTATATGCGCGATGTATGCCATAGCATACAGACAGATATTTCTACCAGGAATAGATATTCCGTGTTGGAAGATATAAACTAAGCGTCGCGCCTGAATCTGTCAATCAAAGCAAGTTGACCATAAACGGAATCAAGAAGTTGGACCCTAAATACAAATTAAAAATTAATGTGGACAAGATAGGGACTTTTGAAGCTTTGGTTGATACAGGCGCTGACCTCTCAGTGGTCGACCTCAGAACGGCCCTCGATACAGGCAATGGTATAAGTAAACTCGCAAATTTTTGTGCAGAACCCGATGGAAAAAAATAGACATGGTAGGAAGTATATTTTTAAATATAAAAATTGATGATAAAGCATTATCACACAAATTTGTGATATTGAAAACGCATTTACGGACATTAATTCTTGAAAGAGATTTCCTTAAGAAAATGAACGCGAAAATAGATTGTAAGCAAGAAACTATAAAATAAGATTTAACGAATAATCATGACGAAAGCAATTTTGAAATGTTGAAAATAAAGAGTGCTAAAGATTTCATTGTACCGGAATGTTCCGTTATATTGATCAAGGCATTGGTAGAAATAGAGGATGGGGAATATATTATCGAGGAGAGCAGCAAAATGTTTCAAAAAAATGGACTTCGTCAAGCAAGAAGCTTGATCAATGTTATAAATAGGGATAACTACTCCGTATCCTCGACCGATGAAAATATTGAAAAACCAAACATTGGCTTTTGGAAGTAGTCCAGCGAAAATAAATGTGAATCGAGAAAGGGAGGTAGAAGAGAACGAGGAACCAAGATTCCAAATAAACGAAAATCTTTCATCAAAGGAACAGGAGTTAAAACAAGTTTTAGAAAGGTATGGAGATCTGTTTTCGTCGAGATTGGGGAGAACCAATTTGGCAAAACATCGGATTGATCAGAAGATGCGAAGCCAATTAAACACAAGCCCTACAGGGTAAGTGCTAAAGAACGAGATATTATAAAAGGGCAAATTGATGAGATGTTTACTGAAGACATAATTAGGCCATCTTCTAGTCCCTGGTCTTTCCTAGTAATATTGGTCAAGAAGAGAGATGGTAAATACAGATTTTGTGTGGACTACAGAAAACTGAATAATATGACAGTAAAAGATGTCTATCCGATCCCTAGAATAGACGATGTTATGGATACTCTCCAAGGATCTACATACTTCACTGCAATAGACCTCAGATCTGGTTATTGGCGAGTTGAAGTCGAAAAAAGAGACTAAAAGAAAACAGCTCTTTCTACAGCGCATGGATTATATGAATTCAACGTGATGCCTTTTGGAATTTGCAACGCGCCTGCTACCTTTGAAAGAAATATGGAAATTTGGCTTGGAAATCTGAGATGGAAAATTTGTCTGTGTTATCTGGATGATGTTATCATATATAGCCCGGATTTTCTAAGGCATCTCAAAAGACTTGAAGCTGTTTTAGATGTTTTCGTGAATCTAATTTGAGGTTGAACGACAAAAAATGGCGATTTGCTTTTGAAGAATTAGAGATTATCGGCTATATAACGAGCAAACATGGTATAAAACCCGCGGTGTATAACATCAAAGCTGTCAGAAATTCTCCTCGGCCCACAATGGTCAAAGAAGTACAATTCTTTTTGGGAATGTGCTCATATTATAGAAATTTATCAAAGATTTCTCAAAAATTGCTGATCATTTGACCAACCTTATTAAAAAGTGTATCATTTACCTGGACAGAAAAGCAAGAGGAAATGTTTCGAACCTTGAAAACAGCACTTTTAAGTCCACCAATTTTAGGTCACTTCAATCCAAATGCGCCTACTTATATTCATACTGATGCGTCCAACATCGTCATAGATGCAACACTTGTCCAAGACATCGGTGGTGAAGAGAAGGTGATTTCTTATTTGAGTCGTACTCTAAGTAAAGCGGAGCAAAATTATTCAACCACCGAAAAAGAATTTCTGGCTGTTGTCTGGGCAATGTCAAAATTACGGTCCTACCTTTATGGAAGACACTTTAAGATAATAACAGACCATCACGCCTTATGCTGCTCAAAAACTTGAAGGATCCAACAGGTCGATTGGCAAGATGGGCATTGAAAATCCAAGAATATGACTTCGATATAATACATAAATCAGGAAAGAAGCATCTGGACGCCTATGGCTTATCTGGGGGACCCTTACCAGAAACTGATTGGGATGAAGATTTTGAAAGGCTATTTTTAAATCTAATAACAGGCGAAGAGGACAAGTTTATCGAAAGTGTTAAGAAAAATCTTAATAGAAGCAGGCGATAAATTGAGCAAAACTTTAAAGTAGAAGATGGATGCCTCTTTAAGAAAAACCCGAATCCTGAAGGCAGGGCGTGGTTGCTTGTGGTTCCAGAGAAGAAAAAGAGAGAAATTTTGTAAGAATATCACAATCATATGTCGAATGGCCATCTGGGTGTCGCCAGAACCA